GAGTGAGTTCCAGGACAGCCAGGGCTGTTTCACAGAGAACCCCTGTCTCAAAAAAAAAAAGGGGGGGGGGAGAATGGTGATTGCATTAGTTTTGCTCTGTTGCTGTGATAAAGCACCTCAAGCAAAAGCAGCTTATGAAGAAGTTATTTTGGCTTACAGTTCCAGAGGGAAGGGAGTCCTTCATGATAGAGAGACTGGACAACAAGGGGCAGGCATGGGCAGGAGCAGCAAGCTAAGAGCTCACATCTTCAATCTAAAGAGTGAGCAAGAAGTGGGGTGAGGCTGTGAACTCCAAGTCTGTCCCCAGAGACATACTTCCTTCAGCAAGACTACACCACCTCCCAAACTGCTACCAACAAGGAACCATCTGTTCTAATTCTAATACTGCAGCCTATAGAGGGTGTTTCCTGTTCAAACCACCACAGTGATGGTCTGGGTGGCAATGGAAATGAGTACTGAGAACCATGCACAGAGTTGGGACTTACTGTCAGTCATTTCAGTTCCCTCCGGGTCCCTTCAACCTCTCCAAAGCATGCCCTAGTTCTCTCCGTCTCTTACTGAATGGACAACCTGACCCCTTTGTAACAGTATCTCATTGCTTGTGAGAATGACAAAGGCAACCTTCTGTTCTGGTGTATGAATAGACTGGTCTCCATCATCTCATAAGTAGGTAACGGCTGAGGGAAGAACCCAGCTTTGCCTTTCTATGTCCCGTAGTGGCTTCACCATCACCTGGTATATGTGACATAGACTAGTAGGAATAATAGGTGACGATTCGGTAAGTCCTTTTGGAGTCTACCAGGAGAACCATAGCCTCCACCAACCCAAAAGCTAAAAATGTTGTCTGGTAGCATCTGAGACCTATAGCAGAAATGTCCCTGGGGATGTCTGTGCTCTATGGTAGCCTACCCTCCTAATATTTTCACCAAGTGTTTGAAAAGTATCTTGGGTCATGACTTTCATTCTAAAAACTCTATGAAACCATCACCACACTGAAACATTAAATTTAAGGTGATCTAAATCTGTGTTCCAGGACCACGGCCACTCACTTGGCTCCAGAATAAACTATTTCTTTTTCCCCCTTGAGGCGAGAGCTGTGTCTCTTGGGCTGACACCTTCAGTTGAACACTCAGCCCATTCCACCTTTTCAGCCCTGTCACCCTTCAAAGCACAGTATGACCTTGTCTTGTCCTCCAGGCTCCACACAATCACATGATCAGTGTGGCTCCTGATGCCCCACCTCCTCTCCCATTCTGCTCTCTGCATTATTTAGCATAATTGTACTTGTGTATCTGGGCAGTGATCAGATATCTCCACAGTGGAGACTGATGAGGCAGATCTCCCAGCTAAGCTCTGGGCTCTTAGAAGTCTCCTGCTGGAAGAGCCTGTCCTAGCTAGTTCTTGTCAGTCTGACGCTGCTGGAGTCATCTGGTAAAAGGAACCTGTGGGGGCCCACAGAGGCTATCTAGTGAGACCTGACTCAGGGTCAGAGATCTGAGCTTGCTTTACACAGCAGGGCTGCATAATGGGATGATTTGACCACAGGCGTGGTTACCAGGTGTTTGGAAGGGTCTACACTGGGCTGTACAGTGTGCTTGATCTTGCAAGGGGAGATCTTTTGCCTTTCCCCTTGACATATCATAAAAAACCCTTTTGAATAAACCTCGGGCTGTTGCTATCCTGTGTCTCTGTCTTTCTCCTTGTCATCTAGGTCTATCTTTCTATCTGATATTTCCTCATTCCTCTCTCCTCCACCTAAGAACCCTTCATAAGGTGGGAACAGGTTAGAGCTGGACTTCCACAGACTCCCACAAGAACCTCAATTGAGAAAGAGTCCCCACAAGATTGTAGTGCATTTTCTTAATGATTGATGTGGGAGGGCCCATCTCACCACGTGCTGTGCTACCCCATGCTGGTGGTCCTGTGTTGAATACGAAAGTAGACTGAGCAAGTCTTGGGGAGCAAGCCAGCAAACAACATTCCTCCATGGCCTCTGTTTCAGTTTCTGCCTCCATGTTTCTGCCTAGATTTCTGCCCTGGCTTCCCCCAGTGATGGAGTGTGGCCTGGAAGATGAAATAAACCCTTTCCTCCCCAAGTTGCTTTTGTCATGGTGTTTTATTACAGCTATAGAAACCCTCACACACATACCACACACAACACACACACACACACACACACACACACACACACACACACTCACACTCACACTTTTGACTGTCTAAATGAGCCTGCTTCAGGAAAGAGAGGGTAAATGGATGAAGGCAAGAATGCAAAATGGTGCTTCATGCATTAAAACTTCAGGACAAATTCCAGCTTGATGTGTTTAACTCACTGTTTATGACTCAATCTAAAACCCTGGAAATGGGATGGTCTTAAGTACTTTCTGTTTGAGTGGGAGCTCCACCTCAATCCCTGGCACCCTGGCATCCCTATACCCAAAGAGTCTGGAATGTTTGGAAAGGAGTCTAGTGGAAGATCCACCTCAACTCCCCTCCCCTATCTCTTTCCCCAAACCCGCTCCTTCAAAGCCTGCCAAACACAGTTCCTCCCCCAGAGAGGCTCAAGACCACTCCCACAGGGTATATAAGCTGTATACCAGAAAACAGACGTGTGGTTCTTCTGATCTCCCATCCCAGTCTCCTCTCTGGGGGGCCAGGGAATCACCCGGGAACATTTTACCCATTAAACTTGGGCTTTTCCTGGTTCGGTCTGATTTGGATTGCTGTGTCAGCAGAGAGGCCTATCAGGGTGCAAAAGGACATCACTTTCTATGACTGCAATCACAGAGGACTTCTTGGAGGCAGAGTGTGATGGTTCCTGCTCCTTGCCAGGGAGAACTCAAGGCCGAAGACAACAGGGTATATGGACTAATGGTCTGAGGAACCCAAGTCATTATTCATGAGTTAGGAAGTTAGAAAATATTTTAGAAGTTTCCAGAAAAAGAAAGCCACACGTTCTGTTGTATAACAGAATGCACACATTCAGATGAACTGGCTGGTTAAAACTTTAGTGGGTGTGGAGAACTGTAATGTTGCAGGTCCAGAGACAAATTATCTTGGGGTTTGTTGGTCCCTAAGTAGCTACGCATCGCTCACAGTCCTGTCAGAGTGTACAAGCAGACCCCTGAGTTTCCCTAGTCCAAAACCTGAACCTGCCACCAGAGAGCTCCTGAGGCCAGCAGCAGAGACCCCTTCACTCTACGAACCTGCCCACCTGTGGCTCCCACTAAGCGCTTCACAAGTGCCTTGGACTCATAGAATGTTCTTTGCTCTAGTCCTACAAAGGCCTCATTAAATTGTTGCCACATCGAAACATGGTATTTGATGCAAATTGAATCTGTGTTCCTGGGTCATGGTCACTCATATATTACTCCAGAATAAATTTTGGTGTTTCTTTTGAAATAAGATCTGTTTTGTGTAGATATGGAGAGCAGAACTAACCCAGGACAGTGTGAGCTTCTGTCTCAGGGTTACAACTCTCTCCTCTGGTAAGCCTGGTGGCAAGAGACTGGCTGACATCTCATGGAGACTCTTAAACATTGCTTGGTTTACTTCCAAAGCCCAAGGCAGGTCAGCGGTCAGAGGGAATGACCATTGAGTAGAGGGAGTCTAGTCTTCCCACTGGATACTGAGCCATAGTGAAACAAGGCACGTGCCTGAGGTTGCTGTGCCCCTGACAAGTTACAGCACAGGAGGGAGTCTATCCTTGTGTTTGTACTGGCAAGGCCCCACGGGCAAGTCCAGATGAGGAGCTCTGGGATGAGCTCCCACAGATGGATTCCTTAACACCACGCCCCATGATGGAGTTCACACCCTGACAGCTGCTCAGCTGTCCTCAGGCCTAAAGCTTTACCGGTCACCTTGGATGGGCACACACTGATTGTTCACTCGCCTTTGACTGTTCAGAGAGCTAGAAGCAAACATGACCATTAAGAATCTGCTTCATCTGAAAGCATCTTTGAAACCAAAGGAAAAGGAAACCCCAGGAAAGGACACACAGTTGCCACGAGCACCAGGGGAGGGGCCAAAGTAGGTGACAAGGATTTATGACAAGAACTGACATAGAGAGAATACTAACCTGAGCCAGACACTATCCTGAGTGCTTTTGTGAGTTCTCTCTTCTGCCTCCCCAAAGCACCAATGGGAGCTATTGTTTCCACACAGGAAGAGGTCCTGTGGGGCCCATAACTACCTGGAATGGGGACCTACCCGAAATTGGAACATTGAGTCCTGACAATGAAAGTGGGGGATGGGGTGTTTAGGGAGACAGCCCAGTGGGAAAGTTTGAGTCTGAATCCTTGGCACCTACATAACAGGCCAGGCTCATTGATGCCTGTAACCCCAGCATGGAGAGGTAGAGACAGAAGGATCCCGGGAGCTCAGTGGCCAGCCAATGAAGTCAGTCAGTGAACTCCAAGTTCAGGGTAAGATGCTGCCTCAAAAAATAAGTTACAGGGGCTAGAGAAGTAGCTCATCAGTTAATAGCATTTTCTGCTTTTCCAGAGAACCCAAATTCAGTTCCCAGCACCCATATCAGGCGGCTGACAACCAGTTCAAGGCAACCCAGTTCTTCTGGCCTCCAGCATTCACATGTACGTATATACACACACACACACACACACACACACACACACACACACACACACACACACACACAAGTTTAAAAGATGAGGAAAGAGACTCGGACATTTAGTGAAAGAACTAGCAAATAAATTGACGTGCGAGTGAAGAAGAGTGAGGTTGGTAAGGTGGACTCCAGGCAGGCACAGAGGTAACGTGCCAGATCTGCACCTGAGAGGTCAGAGCAAAGCGCGGTGGGCACACAACCTGCCGCCATAGTTCAAGGCTTTTCTTCTACCTTCTTTGTGGTAAACCCCTCCTCCCCTTACCTGACCAGGCTCTGTTGCGTCATGTGTTAAATTGGAAAAACATTTTTTCCTAGGTGCTAGCTAACTAGAGTTATTTACCACAGTTACAGAGCAAGGTCCAAGGGCACGGACCTTTGCATTCCCGACTTCTGAAGGCCACATAAAGCCAGCACTGGAGAGCTGACAAGAGCTGAGCCGACGGGACTGTGCAGAGCTCAGCTGGAGCCTGGCCATGGTACTGTGGGGTCCAGTGCTGGGAGCCCTGCTCACAGCCCTTGTGGGATGCCTGTGTCTGTCCATGCTGCTCAGGCACCGCAGGCCCCAGGAGCCGCCTCTGGACAAAGGTTTTATACCCTGGCTGGGTCATGCCATGGCTTTCCGGAAGAATATGTTTGAATTCTTGAAGGGAATGCGGGCCAAGCACGGGGATGTGTTCACAGTGCAGCTAGGGGGTCAGTACTTCACCTTTGTCATGGACCCCCTCTCCTTTGGCCCCATCATTAAGGACACACAGAAAACACTAGACTTCAGGAAGTATGCACAGGAACTGGTGCTAAAGGTGTTTGGATACCAGTCCATCAATGGAGACGACCAGATGGTACACTCAGCCAGTACTAAGCATCTGATGGGACGAGGCTTGGAGGACCTCAACAAGACCATGCTGGACAGTCTGTCCTTGGTGATGCTAGGGCCCAAAGGCCCGAGTCTGGACGCCAGTTCCTGGCGTGAAGACGGCCTCTTTCACTTCTGTTACAGAGTCTTGTTCAAGGCTGGCTTCTTGAGCTTGTTTGGCTACACCAAAGACAAGGTGCAGGATCTTCAGGAAGCGGAGGAGCTGTTCACCAAGTTCCGCAAGTTTGATCTTCTTTTCCCCAGGTTTGTCTACTCCCTGCTGGGGCCCCGGGAGAGGGTAGAAGTGAGCCAACTCCAGCATCTCTTCCACCAGAGACTCTCTGTGGAGCAAAACCTGGAGAAAGACGGCATAAGTAACTGGTTAAGCTGCATGCTTCAGTTTCTGAGGGAGGAAGGAGTAGATTCATCCATGCAGGACAAATTTAACTTTATGATGCTCTGGGCCTCCCAGGGGAACACAGGGCCAACCTGTTTCTGGGCCCTCTTATTCTTGCTAAAGCATCAGAATGCCATGAAGGCTGTGCAAGAGGAAGCCACCCGGGTCCTGGGTGAGGCCAGGTTGGAAGCCAAGAAGTCCTTCGCCTTCACGCTCAGTGCTCTGAAATGCACCCCGGTGTTGGACAGTGTGATGGAGGAGACTCTGCGACTGGGCGCTACCCCCACTCTCCTCAGGGTGGTGCAGAAAGATTACATCCTAAAGATGGCCAGCGGGCAAGAGTACCAGATCCGTCGTGGAGATAAGGTGGCTCTCTTCCCCTACCTCTCAGTGCACATGGACCCTGACATCCACCCTGAGCCCACAGCCTTCAAGTATGATCGGTTCCTCAATCCTGATGGTACCCGGAAAGTGGACTTCTACAAGTCAGGCAAGAAGATCCACCATTACAACATGCCTTGGGGCTCGGGCATCTCCATCTGCCCTGGCAGGTTCTTTGCCCTCAGTGAGATGAAGATCTTTGTCCTGCTTATGGTCATGTACTTCGACTTGGAGCTGGTGGACCCCGACATGCCTGTGCCCCCTATTGACCCAAGGCGCTGGGGCTTCGGCACCTCACAGCCTAGCCACGAGGTGCGCTTCCGCTACCGCCTGAAGCCCATGCCGTGAGCTCACAGCCATCCTTCTGGCTCTGCAGCACCCCTACCTCTCCCTAGGATCCTTGCTCTCTTGCCTCCTGGACATCTCATAGGTTGTCATGCTCCCTGAAAGATGCTGCTTCCCCAGTGGGTTTTGCCAGACCCTCCTCTCAGGAGGAGCACCCATGAGTCAAATGGCATCTTGCGAACACTGCCTCAATCCCTCCTGCCTGCTTTATTCGGTGCCCTTTACTCCACATCCTATGGGTTCAGAGTCTAGAGATGTTGTTCAGTGGAGTCAAGCCATGCATGTGATTGTTGATTCCCTAATAGATGCACTGAGAGAAAGCAAAGGCTTAAAGGTGAGGGTTGTTCTCCAGTGTGTATCTCTTAGCCCAGAGTTTCCAAAGAACTAGAACTTAAACAGTTTCAGAGAGACTCATCTGGTGCTTTGTGTTCTTGTGTCCTGTCATCAAACTCTTGAGTGCTTTTGAAAGTGGTCTAGCCACAGTCTCAGAACCACCACATTTGATACAGGGGCCACTCAAGGTGCCCCCTCCTGCCCCTTTCTCTTCTCTGCATCCTCTCCCCATGGTTCCAAGAACACCACTGAGTGTTTTCTCTACCTCCATGCCTTCCATCTCCCTGTGGGATCTCACAGCCCCTTGGATACGCTCGGTCCGTGCAGAACTCAGCATCCATCCCACACTCTGGTAAACGGCTTCCTTCCCTACTCCCCCGCCTCTCTGCTCAGGATGGCCCCTCACCCACGACCCAGAGCAGACACCAAACACCTCACCTCCCCCACCACAGACCATCAGGCTCAGTTCTGTCTGCTCAAGCCCTGTAATGCCTCTGAAAGATCACTTCCTGCCCACCTCTGCTGAGATTCTCAGCCCTGTAGCCTCTGCCTGTTTCCACACCAGGCCTCACCCTTTGTTCACACAGCTTTCCAAGGCCCTTTTCAGAAAGTGTCTCTGGTGGCCACCGTTTCGTCTTCCTGCTCCTTGTCACCTTCGGGCACCCGTCATCTGCATGCTTCATCTCCAGCAGATCTCTGCAATGCAGCCGTCCCAAAGCAGAGGCATAGCTTTTGCTTCAAGCCCAGTACCGGTTACCAGCCTTCTTGGATTTCCATCTCCCCACCCCAGCACGGCCTTGGGCCCCTTGGGCTCTGCTAACATTGTTTATACATCCCAGCACACCTGGGCTATATCATTGCTGTCAATGTCTTGGTTTCCTCTTCCTGCTCCTGGCCCAGATTCAAGCCCATCAAGGATTTGTCCTTGGAGGGCCTGAGAGGAAGGAGGTGAGAGGTGCAGGGATGAAGAAAGGGGCACAGCACTGCTGGGCTGGGCCAGCGTGACTAGGCCCAGCGACTAGTACCCTTGGGTCTCCTCTGCCTGGACTGTCACCATCCATCCTCATGGAGGGGACCCAGAACCACCAGAACCAAGAAATTAGCCCATCAGAGTATGGTAACGTGTCCATTTATCTCTGCCTACCAATTCTCTAAATATGTATTCCATCGTAGAAACTTGATTTCCAGCCTTGGCAAATTTACTCTGTACTCAAACATATCCTGCCCTTCCATGACCTGGTGCATGAAACACAGGTGACCTCATGGCTAGACACGCTTCCCGGTTTGGGAAGCGGGCAAGTGCTGCTACCGGAGCGGTGGCTGTCTGGTAGCAGGGCCTGGCTGGGACTAGGACAGGCTGGGGAACAACTGTAGCTGGATAGAGGATCCTGGGAAAGGTGGGTCAGGGCAGCGCAGACAACCTCACCACCTCAGGGCCCAGGCAGAGCGGCTTCCCTAACACTGCTCTGTGTCCCTTTAGCCCACCTATTCTGCCCTGCTGAGCATTGCTGCAGCAGCAGGCAGAGGCCCAAACTGTGGGCAAGATATCTCCAACTAGCTGTGTGACCCTGGACCAAGACCCACCTTTCCTGGATGGTAAGGTCAATCTCACAGAGCCCCTACCTGGCCATGAGCATTAAGATAACCTACCCACTTCTACAAGACCAGGAACACAAAGAGAGGAGATGGGCAGGAACATGAGAGGAGGGCTGGGGTGGAAGGCTGAGGGTCACAATGGTGAGCTGACCAATGGCCTCCCATTCAGCCAGCCCCCACGTCTAATCCAATGGGCAGGGGAAGGGGGCAATCTCTGTGGCCTTGCCAGGCCCTCTTTGCTGTGTCCTCTCCCTTTCCACATACCCAGGGGAACATGAAACAGGATCCTGGTCTGTGAACCGACCAAGCATGCTGAGGGCCTGAGTCCCCTGGGTCAGGACCAGAAGCTCTCAGCTGCAAGTGGCCTGGTCAGCCCCCAGAGAAAACTCTCCTCCAGAAGGTTGTGTGAAAGACCAAGCTGATCAGTGGTCAGGTCTGAGGCAATCAGAGGTGCTCTATCCCACATACAGGGGTCTCCTAGGAAACTTGGCTATGCAGGAGAATCCCAGTGCCTGCCTGCTTGCATGGGTAGCCCTGAGGAACCTGTGGTTCTGAGTCCCCTCCCCAGAGGGATGGAGACAGTCCAGGCAGAGGAGGCCCGAGGGTACACCTAGTCACGCTGGCCCAGCCCAGCAGTGCTGTGCCCTTCCTCATCCCTGCACCTCTCACCTCCTTCCCCTCAGAACCTCTAAGGAAAGAGCAACAAATGGATTCTCTCTGGAGACAGCTTACAATAAAACAAGATCAGAGATGTCTTCTCAGCTGGGTGTGGAGGCACACACAGGGACCCAGCACTCAGGAGTCTGAGGCAGGAGGATTCATGTTCAAAGGCAGCCTAGGCTTCACAGTAAGAGCTTGTCACACACAAAAAAAAAAATCCACAAAGCCAAAACAATATAAAGTATAACAACTCTCCTACGGTGGTTTTTGGTCACCTGGAAAGGAAAAGTTTTTCCCCATGTGGTCACCGTGGTGAACATGCCAGTCTCACGGCACAGAGCCGAGGGATCAGCAGCTTACTGCAGGCAGTCACTCCTGCCCGCTCCCTGAGCCAGCACAGAGGAGAGTCCACCTTGCCTCTGATCCTGGTGGTCAGGTGCATACAGAGGCCCGCCAGAGACTGCTGGCTAAGGCTAGGTGGTGCCACAGGGAGCCAGGCTTGGCAGGCCTGGTAGAGGAGCAGGGAGTGGAGCAATGCACAGGCTTGGGAGTAGGGGTGGAGAGCAGAGGCTCTGCCTTGGCCTGGGCTGTTGGTGAGTTGCTACACAGGGTCCCTACAACCGTAAGCAGTAATGTGTGTCTGTGGCCAGTGCTCCTCAGGCCACTGTTGACTCTGAGGCTCTTTCCCAGGAAGTGCAAACCCAGTGTACACAGACAATTAGGAACAGTTAGAAAGCCGGTGGGCACACACTAGATACGAATTCATCGCAGATCTACATCCACAGCTATATGTGTTGTACACAGTCCATACAACACACTGGCAGACACAGACATGTGCATGGATGTCCCAGACAGGTACACATACATCACCAAGGCTGGCAACAAGGCCCCTGAACTTCCACGCCTGGCATGCTGTGTCCCATCCCATCTGTGCATCTTGGGCACAAAGTCAGGGGCTTGGGAGACCTTGGTCCTATTGCCATACGTGAGCTGTATCTCATCAGTCTGCCTGGTATGCGTGGTTTCAGGAGTCTAATACCCTTCCTCCATGTTCTCAGACACATTACCAACTACAGACAAGGAACTGAGGGAGCCAGTCTGGAGTCCCTCCTGACATAAAGAATCTGGGACCTTGTACAGAGAGACCTGAAGGCATCAGAGCTGAGCGAGGTGGGTGTGGGGAACACACAGAATAAAAAACACTATAGATAAGTCAGGCACATGGAGGAACAACTGGGCATGCACATGCGTGTGCGTGTGTATGCGATTACATGTATGAATGCATAGGTGCGTGTGCATGTGTATGCAATTGTATGTATGAATGCATAGGTGTGTGTGCATGTATGTGTGTGTGTGTGTGTGTGTGTGCGCGTGCGCGGTGCGCAAGGGTGGGGGCACACTGTTACTGAACTCAGAGAAAAGAACTGGGTGGGACATTGTCTTCCTGTTCAATTCTCTGTTCATCAGCCACTTGTTCAAAAAAAAAAAAAAAAGAACTTAGTAAGAAATCAAAAAACAAAAGAGGAGAGAAGGAAAGAGGGAGAGGGGAAGGAAGGAGGGAAGGGGGAGAGAGGAGGAAGGAGGGGAGGAGGGAGAGAGGGAAAGAGGAGGTAGGAGGGGAGGAGGGAGAGAGAAGGAAGGAGGGGAGGAGGGAGAGAGGAGGAAGGAGGGGAGAAGGGAGAGAGGGAGAGAGGAGGAAGGAGGGGAGGAGGGAGAGAGGAGGAAGGAGGGGAGGAGGGAGAGAGGAGGAAGGAGGGGAGGAGGGAGAGAGGAGGAAGGAGGGGAGGAGGGAGAGAGGAGGAAGGAGGAAGGAGGGGAGGAGGGAGAGAGGGAGAGAGGAGGAAGGAGGGGAGGAGGGAGAGAGGGAGAGAGGAGGAAGGAGGGGAGGAGGGAGAGAGGGAGAGAGGAGGAAGGAGGAGGGAAGAAAATGAGAAGAGGAAAACCTTGACAGGAGGTAGACTCTAACTTGTAGGCATGTGTGAAGGAGTTTGTAGATCAGATTAACTGAGGTAGGAAACCTGCCCTGACTGTGGGAGGCACCACTCTGTGGCCAGGGTAGGAACAGAGTTGAACACCAGTGTTCCTCTCTCTCTGCCTCCTGACTGCAGTTGCGATGTGAGCAACCACCTCACACCCTTGCCGCCATGACTTCCCCCCACGATGGACTGTACTGTAGTGGGTAGCCGTTCCAGCTTTGACCTGGAAGTACCACCCCTATTGAGGCTTCAGTAACTGTCACGCCTACAAGGCGGAACCGAGAGAGGACACCTTTCCCAGACCCTGTAACCTATCCCTTCACTTGTAAGTTACCCCACAAAATAAACCTCCCTTTTAACTACGTGGAGTTGCCATAATATTTAAACCAATACTGTACCCTCAAACTACAAACCAAAGAAACCCTTCCTTCCTTCCTTAAGCGCCTTTGTGTCCATGAGAAAACGAACTAAAACACCCCTAAAGTACTCAGTGAGCACTGACTGCACTCCAAGCTCTGGAGCAGCCTGTGGAATGAAGATGTTACATATGGCCGTCTCTGCTGTCTGGGAACCCAGCCATCTACCATCCTACCCTCCACTTCACTTAACTGGGAGTTTCCTTTCCTGTGTGCCACACTTTGTACTTTGTTGTGCAAGACAAGAGTTGTAGGATGTGAACAGGCTGTAAGAGGTTCTATGAGGTTGGGGAAGTCTTGGGGGCTGAAGGTTCCCTAGAGAAGGGTAACAAGCATGCACTGGGTGGCAGGGAGTAGCTGGGCCCACGAGGTGGGGGAGTGCGTGCCAAGCCAGCACTGGGGAATTGGGATGAGCACCAGTGAGCTGTGATTCTGGGGACCCCAGAGTCTGCTCACTCACTTCACTTCTTGAAGCACCAGATCTCACACCCTCTCCGTTCTAGTTCCGTGCCTCTATTCCAGCATGTTCCAGTTGCCTTCATCCCGCTGACTGCCTAGGTCACATGTCCATCCCAAAAGAATCACTGTGGTCGTGAAAATATAAAATTGTAATTGTCCTGTGCATTGTTCAGCTTCATGTCACTGCAACAGAGGACCCAAGATCAGTAATGGTCAAAGAGAAAGGTTTATTTTTGGCTCAGGTTGCACCAGATGGCAATAGCAGGAGTGAGCACACCACTCAACTCATAAGCCACGGAGCAAAACACTGGGGGTGGAGAAGCCTGAAGTCCCATCATTCCCTTCAAAGGCATGCTCCCAGTTGCCTAAGGGCCTGCTCTGAGGCCCCACCTTCTAGAGATTGCACCATTACTCAGCAGGGACACCTCAACACGTGGAACTCAGAGGACACTGACCCAAATCAGGACAGTCTAAGATTCCACCCAGAGTATGGGGCAGGGCAACCTTTTCAAGAACAAGTGGGGTCAGCTCAGGAGATGAGGGGGTCACACCTGACCAGAAGCAAGCTTTGTTACACAGGAAGCAGGGCAGGGCAGACAGGTCAGGTGTGCAGACAACAGCATGGAGTGGTGGGTGTTCAGGAGCTGGAGGAGCTGGAGGGTGCAGATGTCTAGATGCTGCTGAGAAAGCGCTGGCCTTGGGGTGAAGCGCAGCAGTCAGTGAAGCCCACAGGGACCGGGACCTGAGTGCAATCCAGAGCCTGTGCACACACAAGCGCAACCTCGGGGAAGGGGGAGACAGGGACCAGTAATCAGAGAAAGACCTTGTCTCAAAAACAACAAAGGTGAATGGCACCTGAGAAATGGCACATGAGTCTGTCCTCTTATTTCCATACACTGGCACATGCATACTGGCTTCTATGCCAAGCAAAGCTTATTATTGCTGCAGTTATGAACTCACTCTGTGACTTTTCCATACATGTATATGTCATGCTTTGTCCAAATCCACTTGTGGTGGCTTCCTCTTTCTTCCCTCTCCTACTTTCAATGTACTCTCTTTTGTCTTAGTTTCCACAAATGAGAGGAAATAAGGGATACTCGTCTTTCTAAGTCTGGCTTATGTCACTTCACTCAGCCAGTACTCCATCCATTTTCTGGCTTCTCCTCCTCTTCTTCAAGGCTGGGTAATACTCTACAGTGTGTGTATGATGGATCATTAGCAATTTTAGTTTTATGTTTTAAGGAACCAACAAATTGCAGCCCATAGCAACTGTATGGTTTACCCAACAGCATTCTATAAGGGTCTGTTCCCCTCCCTGTCCCACCAGAGTTCATGGTTCTGCTGTTCTGGTTGCTTCTCTGGTAACAGCTGTCTGACCTGGGCAAAGTAGGAGTGCAATGTCATTCTGATTTGTGTTTCTGTGATGGACAAGAATGCAGAGTATTTTTTGTGTATTTATTGAGCATCTGTTCTTCTTTTGAGAAATGTCTGTTCAAATTATTCATCCATTTTTTTATTGGATTATTTGACCTTGTCAATTTTTCAGTTCCCCATGCAGTCTGGATATTGGCCCTGTCAGGCCAAAGCCAGTCAGGTTAAAAAGACACCGCTGTCCCTGTGCCTCAGAGACTGTAGCTCCATGCAACTCCATGCAGTCCTGCTTCTCGGTTCCTGCTTGTATTTCCTGGCTTATTGGAACTTGGCTCAGAAAGCCCTTGCCTCTGGTGATGTCTGTAGTGCCTTTCCCTCATGGTTTCAAAGCTTTGGGTCTTACACTAAAGTCTTTGATCCATTTTTAGCTGCTCTTTGTACCGGATAAGAGACAGGATCTAGTTTTAATCTCCCACACGTGGACACCCAGTTTTCCCAGCGGGTGTGTTGGGGGGTTGCCTTCTCACCAGCATGTGTTTGGAAAGTTCAGACAAAGCCTTGAACTTAACTGACAGACCCCAGAGGGACTGAAGGTCCCAGATTAGGCCAGCGCTGAGATGGGTGGTTTCTGCCTTCCTCCTGCCAGATGCACACCTGCCGGGCTGTCCTCTGGCTGGAGCACCTCCAGTGCCTTCAGGCTATAGCTCTGGAGCTTCTGACAAGGGCAGGAAGGTGTATTCCCATCTGAGTTACCGAGAAAGGGGCCCTGGTGGGTGGACAGCCTGTGGCTGTTCCCCAAAACGCCACAAAGAAAGAACTTGTTGATCACACTCCACAGATACTTTCTAAATGCCTTCCATGCACAAGCTCCTGTGGTGTGGGTTGGAGTACAGCAGTGAGCCATGCACTAAAGAGCCTTACTCTGCAGCTCAGCTGGGTGGACGGGCTTAAGGCAGTAACCAGTGAACACAACAAATAGGAGAAAATGTGGACGGAGTGTGAGTGGTAAATGCAGGAGCAGATCATTCAGAGCATCAGGTATGTAGTTAGGGCATTAAGTAGAGTGAGCATGGGGCAACTCACCAACAAGGTGAGATCTGAACCAAGACCCCAGGAAGTGAAGGAATGAGCCAAACTCTTCACAAGGGGAAGACTGCCCAGGAAGGTAGCATAGCTAAACTCGCCCTACTGGATGAGCCTGGAATGCTCCAGAAACACAAGTGGAGATCAGTGTGTGCCCTGAACCCAGAAACTAGGAGGGAATGTGGTAGAGATGAGGCCATAGGCTGGTCACATAGCCCTTGAAGCCTAAGCGTGGAGTGACCTCACTGTCTGCTGGGGGCCCAGGAAGCCACAGAAGCACACGTGATGGAAGCAGAGATTACGGAGACCATTGCAGCGATTTGGCAGACAGCATGGGGTCCAGGAAGATGGAGGAAGTGGCAGCAGTGAGCGAGACCTGCTGATGGCTGAGAGCCACTGGGCAAGCAGCATGGTCATGCTGGCCCTAAAGAGAGAACAGTGCTCTTCCCATGGCCACTCAGGGCCAATCATTGCCCACGGGCCCCTTGTTAAGGGAGTCGTCAGCCGGCCTCTCTCCAAAGTCATGCATGTTGACCATATCTTCTTGGGCAGTAACCCTGCTGCTCTCAGAATAGCTAGATGGCAGGGCCTGGGCAGTGCCAGGGTCCTGGTGCCATCTCAGCACCACAGCAAGGAAAGCTTTCAGATGCTGCCGGAAGCGGCGACTGGAGAAGGCATAGAGGACGGGAGTGAAACAGCAGTGGAAGAAGGCCAGACTCTCTGTCACCTGCAGCGTGTAGTCCAGATAGTGGCTGAGCTGGCAGTTCCCAAAGACATGCAGGTCCAGCAGCGAGTGCAGAAACAGAGTGAGGTTGTATGGGAACCACAACAGGAAGAAAGCTACCACCAGGGTTGTGGCCATCCTCAGAGCCCGGCCCTGGCCTGGCGGCCTCAGCCTAACCAAAACACAACCAATGCGGGAGTAAAAGAAGATCATGGCCAAGAGCGGAAGGAGAAACCCCAGGAGGTTCTGCTGGAAGCGCAGGTAGAGCTTCCAAATGGTTGCATGTCCTCCAAAATCGGCATAACAATGCCACACACCGTCGAAGGTCTTGTGGACCTGTACAAAGACCATTTCTGGGATAGAGATGGCCAGGGCCGTGGTCCACACTATGGCAATGAGGAGCAGGTTCCTGAACCGGGTCTTTGGTCTGTGGAGGGGCTGAGCATGGACAATCTCCAGGTATTTGTCCAAGCTCATGCAAGTGATGAAGAAGATGCCACAGTAAAAGTTAATAGTGTAGAGAACGCTCACCACCTTGCACAAGAAACTGCCAAAAACCCAATGCCAGGCCACAGAGATGGCCCAAAAGGGCATCGTCACTACAAACAAGAGGTTGGAGACGGCCAGGTTCAGCAGGTAAAGCTCAATCATGCGTCTTCGAGGCACATAGCGGAGCAGCACCACCAGAAGGAGGAGGTTCCCAGCCAAGCCCAGCACGAAGATCAGGCTGTAGATGATTGGCAGGAAGACTCTCCCAAAGGACAAGACCTCATCCTTCCTGCAGACCAAGACAGTCACATCATCCAAGTAATCATAGTCATAGAGGAAGCTGCTGTTCTCAGGACCGGTGGTGGTGAGTGGCAGGGGGAACACCTTGGTGGGCATGTCTGAAGTTCTGCAGAAAACAAAAAACCATGGTGAGGGCCTGGGGGAACAGCTCAGCATGCGAGCACGAGGGCCCGAGTTCAGATCCCCAGAACCCACATAAAGCTAGCCACAGCAGCACACTGTAACCCCAGAGCTCCTACCAAAAGATGGGAGAGGCCAGCTAGCCTGGGGTACACAATCACAAAGAAGACTGAGACCTAAGTTTGTCCTCTGACAACCACATGCACACTCCCATGCTCACATACATGAACATGTAAACACATACAAACACAAAGACCGAAAAAAGAAACCTAAACCACAAATGACTGTATCCCCTCAAACCCTGAGCTGAAATAACCCACCCTCTCCTGAGGCTGTGACTAAACACCTCCACGGCAGCCCGAGGTAGTGCCCCTCAGCGTACACAGTACAAGCTGAGGTGAAGTGTAGATAGACACCACATTCTCACTGAACACGTTAAGGGGAGCACTGTCTGGCCAGGGTTGTCACTTTTCCAGAGGCTTTTAATATGTGGGCTCAGTACTGTCAGCATGTAAACATGGAGTAGCCAGAATCTGGCCATTGTCATCTACTGGGTTTCAACAGCCTGTGGTTGGCATACATTTAGCCTGGAAGTTTCTAGCACATGTGTCCAGGAGTGTAGCAAATGCCGAAGACAAAGCTATTTCCAGAATGCCTCTGGTATGAGAACAGGGCAACCACCATGCTCAGCGAGACACTGAGTTCAGGACTAGAATAGGGTCACCAACTCTTTGGTGCCCTCAAGCCTGGCTTCAGGGGCAGCAAGTCTGTCAAGCAGGGAGAGGCAGCAAGTTAAAAGCAAGCTTGGTTTAAACAGCCAGGACCAGGCCACCTGGAACTACACAGGGTTTAGTTTAAAAACACAGATTTAAAAAAAAAATGCTGGTAGCCTCTGTCAACTGACTGCTGTGCCCTCTGCTCCCCTCTCCACTGTGACAGGGCAAGGCACTGCTGAGGTTCCTCCATCTTATATTCTTGCTGAAGCCATTTTAGGCTTGACTACAATTCCATCTCCTCAATGGAGAATGTCATAGAAAATTACCCAATTGCATTCAAGAAATCCGAGGTCAAGACGCCCCAGCTAACTAATTTGTTAAACTGCCTGCTTGTGCAGAAGCCCCCCTCCCTCCAGCTAACTGCTTATCTTGGCTTCTGTTAAACTGCTTGCTTGAGGAAAGCACCCCCACCCTGCTGCATCTGCCAAATGAGATGGCAGGTGTTGGTTTTGCCTTCAAAGACTCCATGATCTGGACACTTGGTGCTACACTTGGGTTCTGAATGCCTGAGTGCAGTCCTAGCCAGCTGGAATAAAGACTTTCAATTGGCTATAAACTGTGTCTGAGTGGTTGTCTCTCCAGGAGGGGGGCTCCCCATAACACCATCACAGACAAAGCTCCCAACTGTGTAACTCCTCAGCTGATTTGTATCTTTGTGTCACTCTTCCCCACACCATGGTGTCTGGCATGCCGTCTCCCGACCAATCAATGCAGCTAGTCCATAGGGACCCTGACTTGTGGCTATACTGGGCTTACTGGTGTCCAGGGCTACAGTCTTCAGAGCTGTGGCCTGGATTCCTTCTTTGCATGCCTTGCTGTGCTGGTGTCATCTCTTGAGCAAATTCCCTGAACTGTACTTAAAGCTTGGAAGGAGTGTGGCTTGCTCAGCTGTTAGCAGCTGGGCTTGGTTGCACTCTGGCTTACCTTGTGCCTGCAATGTCTGGTCTCTGTGCCCAGCTAGAGAGCTGGCGTTAGTTTCAAACTGGTTCGTTGTCTTCTCTGCTCTCTTTCCACTTCTCCTGCTGTTTTGGTTTTCCTCTAGTCTTAGAATTCTTTCTCCTTGTTGCCCCGACTCCTCTCTTGCAGAGTTGTGGGAAGGGTGCTTCTCTTCTACTCTGATGAGGATCTGTCTTCAAGCTTTCAAAAATACACACAGCATGCATAATTATCCGCAGCCACTGTACCATGCAGTAGCTCCCCTTCCTCTTCCTCTGCTGACTACAGCCTCACCCCATTCATCAGCCCCTTCCACACCTTCTGCAATCGCTCATCTCTCAACTCACGTAGACCTGCATTTCCCACGTGTGCATACATCTGGTGGTTCTATTTACAGTAATTTTGAGAACCTGCATGCTGCTTGCCATGGTGGTGGGGCATTATTCCTGGGCCTTTGGGCTAAGACCAGAATGCATGGTGGCTGCACTCATTTACATCCCCCAGCAGTGCATGAGCCTTCCCCTTTCTCTGCATCCCAGCCAGCAGGGGCTTTTGTTGTTTTGCTTTGTTTTGTTTTTGTTTTGAAACCAAACCTCAGCTTTGTAACCCTGGCTGGCCTGGAACTAGCTGTGTAGACTAGGCTCACTTTGAGCTGGCTCTTGCCTCTGCCCCCCCTGCTTTTTGTCTTTTTGATATTATTCATCCTTACTAGAGTGGAGTGATAACACACAGTGGTTGGATTTGCATTTCCCTGATGGTTACTAATATTGACTTTGGGGGAGTACAGTCGTGTACTATTGACCACTGTGTGTCTCCTTTTGAGAAATATCTTCACCTTCTCTTGTCTTTTGTTTGTTTTGTTCTGTTTGCTTTGATTTGTTTTGGTTTTGAACTTGCCAAGTATCAGAGGATGACCTTGAACTCCTGATCCTTCTGCCTGTATCTCCCAAGCACTGAGATTGCAGGCATGTACTGTTATGCTCAGCTAATCATTTGCTCATTTAAAAGTTTTGGGGGAGGGTGGTAATGTCTTAAGGTCCTTATATACTCCTGATATTAATCCCTTGTCTGGTGAATAATTCATAAATATTTTTGCTACCCTGTAGGATCCCTCATCATTCTGTTGAGTCTCTCCTCTGCACTGTTTGATATAACCCCATTCCCTCCTATGCACGTTTGATATAACCCCATTCCCCCCTCTGCACTGTTTGATATAATCCCATTCCCCCCCTCTGCAATGTTTGATATAACCCCATTCCCCCCTCTGAAATGTTTGTTATAACCCCATTCCCCCCTCTGCAGTGTTTGATATAATCCCATTCCCCCCTCTGAAATGTTTGTTATAACCCCATTCCCCCCTCTGCAGTGTTTGATATAATCCCATTCCCCCCTCTGCACTGTTTGATATAATCCCATTCCCCCCTCTGCACTGTTTGATATAATCCCATTCCCCCCTCTGAAATGTTTGATATAATCCCATTCCCCCCTCTGCAGTGTTTGATATAACCCCATTCCCTCCTCTGCAGTGTTTGATATAATCCCATTCCCCCTCTGCAATGTTTGATATAATCCCATTCCTCCCACCCCATCCTCTAATTTTGGCCTGTGCTTTTGAGGTCTTATCTAGAAAACCTCCACCCACACCTATGCATTGCTATGTACCGAAGCATGAAAATAGCATGAACTAGAGCATGGGTAAAGTGAACTTAAAATTGTGCTCAATCCTGTACTAAGCTACAGAAAGACAGAGATGGGGAGGGGCAGGTGCAGAGACTGGAAAAGAGGAGGATGTTAAGGTGGTCTGCCTGACATCTGTCAGTCTCCCATTGATCACCTGATGTGGCCTATCTGGCTAGCCAAGTGGGTGTCCCCTTCTTACTCTCTGCCCCACAGGTGTCTCTCTTGAGGCTGCATGCCTAATCAAAGCAGATGACCTTCCTTCATAGAGGAAGATGGCTCTTTGATCAAGGATATAGGACTAACTTCACTCCCTGTCAGAACCCAAGGGTAGGGGCCTTTATGTCCAACACATTGCATTGATTACCAGTGGGGAAGGGCTTTGGGGAAAAGAGGGAAAGGAGACAAAAATGAATCTGTGCTCAGCAGGAGCTATGCTGAGCCACTACAGAGGGGCCTGTGGGCTAGTGGTGTTAATGGGTCATCAATTCCTCCTAAACATCTGTATTTTGTTTCCTGTTCTCCAATTCAACTAGGGTCAACTTCTAATATGCTCGGTGACAGCTTACATTCATATTTATTTATGCTTGTAGTGGATGGGAATCTCTTTTCATAAGAAGTGGGGGGATTGCAGTGATCCTCCGGCCTCGCTTCTCAAGTGCTAGAGAGCTGGCCTGTACTGCAACAACTCAGCTTTTTTAAAGGGGGCTTATATGGTGTGGGCTTTACCCTTCTCATGTATGGTGCACTATTTTCCCTAGTTCTTTCTGGCTGAATTATTTTATTTTTGTAAGAAGAATTTTGAAAGAGCTGTTGGCTCAGGAGGCCCTCATGGGACTCTGAGCATCCATGAGTCTGGATGGAATGAACTGGGTGGGAAATATCACCCCTCCCATGGAACACTCCATCTCTGTCAGCCTCTGCCCCACCCTTGAGCTCCTATCTAATAGAATGGGGACTAGATGCTGGACAAGCCATACACATGTCTGGGAAGTTTTCTTTAAGGCCCAGCTCATCTCCTGGCCATCCTCAAAGGTGGCTCTGCGCCTGCCTTAGTGGGCCCCTGCTCCTCTCCTGTACATATGGCTTCTCCAGGCTCTGAGTGTCTCTCATTCCTGGGCTGGTATCAGGAGTTGAGCTGAGGAGGGGTACAGGTGAGGAGAACCTTTCTGAGGCTCAGGCCTTGTCAGGTAGGATGCCAATAACTGCACCCTCGCTGTTCTCCACAGCGCCAGCCCTGGCCTTGATCTGATCTCTCCAAGTCCCTGATTTTTGCTTTAGCAAATATGCAACCTAACAGATGCTTAGATCAAAGTCAGGGCTGGCAGCTTCTGAAGGTCTCCCTCTCCCTGGAGCACTCTGGGAAGCTCTCCAGGTCCTCTGAAGCAACAGGCCTCTCCCAACACTTCCAACATTCCCCGGATGACTCAGAAACTATGTCCCTGTACACACCATGGATGGCACGTGCCTTCCTGGCCACTGTGCAGTCCTGTAGCTCACGAGAAGGTGTGTGAGCACTGGTCATTTTAACTCCCTTACATTCACTGGAACCTTGAGAGGAATGAGTTGTTCTCTTCTTAGGGTAAGTTTGCAGGTAGTAAAGGTGACTCTGCAGAGAAAGCTTTAGGGGATCCAGAGATTTACTTAAGGGCTTCCAGTCAGAGGGCCGGCAAGGTCAAACTCAGCTAAGCTTACCTCCCATAAAGCTAGAGACACGGAGGGAGATGCAATTAATCTGTAGGACAGAAATGCTGCTATATTTATGCCGGGGCTATAGCTTAGTTGACAGAGTGCTTTCCGACCATGCAGGTTTGACCTTCCGCACTGTATAGCTGTGGTGCACTCCTTCAATTCCTGAACTCAGGAGGTTTAAGTAGGAGGATCAGAAGTTCAGGATCATCTTTAGCTACACAGAAAATTCAAGGTGAGACTGAGATACATCAGACCTTGTCTCAAATAAAATAAAACCTCCAAAAACAAAAACAAAAAAGCATAGCTCCATCCACATGGCACGTGGCCTTGTGGGCAGTGCCATGTGAGCTCACTTTCAGGGACAAGTGGCTTTGTGAGCCATGACATGTGACCTGAGCATGCCTGGAACTTCCTGACAGGATGCTCAGAGTTAGAGTGACATCCATGTTGCAGAGGGTGAAACAGACATAATGAGGTAACACCAATTCCAAAAGCCGTGGATGAGCTGGGTGGACTGAAAACTCAAGGGGGAGCTGCCATAGCTTAGTCTGAGGTCCCCCTTTCAACAGACCAAGCTTAAATTTGAAGGACGTGGCTCCTATAGTAGAGCTTCCAGCCTGAGAAACTTAGGCCAGAGAAAAGGCAGAAGGCTGAGCCAGCCCCTGGGGGTGTGCGGCTGGCACGTGGCCTTGCAAGCACGTCTGTGAGCTCCCACACAGCAGTCAGCACTGTGGCCAGCGGCGGGAGACACTGAGAGGGTGGCAGATGCACGGTGAGGGGTCCTCCTCGCTTGGATACCCCACACTCAACTCAAGTTGCCTGTGAAACCTTTATCCAAGTCACAGATCCAGACTCCAGAGCTGCTGACAGGCATCCCTCCTTCTTCCACTGCCCCGGGCCCCAGCCAAGAGCTCTTAAGGACAGGTGGGTAGGTCCCCCGAGAGGCTGGCCTCCATCCATCCCAGCAGAGTGTGCTGTGGATGGCGCAACCTACCAAATGTACAGACTGCTCAAACAAACAAGTTGAGCCCGACCTCACAGGCTCCCCAGCTTTTGGAATGTAAAAGCAACCGATCTGGTCACTTCCAGTGGACAGTGCCTTTGCTGACTTGCCCAGGACCAGGACCAGGAAACCAAGCCCTGATTTAAGCACCCCACAAAGCCACCCCTCCCTGCAGCACCCCTGCCCAGTCCCCAGCACTCACACAGGGTAGTCCTGGCCAGCCTTCCTTCACCCTCTGGGTACAGAGCTGGCTCCTCCGAAGTCTGGGGGCTCCAAGGGTGACAGCAGTCTCCAGGACTCCTCAGTGCAGGACTGACATCAGAACAACATTAGCAACATGATGGCAACTTAAATGGTGTGGCCGCCTCTTCTCCCTCTCTTCACTCAGTTTTTCCTTTTGGTTTTATTTCCTACTAGGCAGAGCTGGAGCCAACTTTGCACAGCCTCAGGATCCTGTGACCCAGAGCATGACCAGCACAGAACCTCAACCTATTGGGCCCTCCCCTGGGGACTCCCGATTGGCTTTTGGGATCCACTCTTCTCAGCCTCAGATGGCCCCTCGAGCCCTGGGCCCAGTGTTGTGGCATTCTTGATATTCCTGGCCCAGGAGCAGCTACATACACTGAGGCAGCCTCAGCTGCTAGATGCAGGAGCATCCTCCAACCCCAGAATAGCTGCACAGATAGGTTGCGTCAGGCACCAGAAGCCTGTCTCTAGGGAGCTGTGGGCAGTATTGGGCTCTCTCCTTCCCCGCTCCATCATGGGCTGGGGAAACCATCAGTTATTAAATTATAGCTGCATGTGTAACAACACCCTACAATTACACAGCACTTACTACAGGCCAGGGTCTGTCCTCAGGACTTCTCCCATTCATTCATTCGTTCATTCATTCATTCATTCATTCATATCATTCATTCTGTCTTTGGAACAGCACTAAGACAGTTGTCTCTATGAGGGGACCAGACAAAAACCAGGCTCCATCCCAGCCCCTGACCCCCACCAGTCAGTTTCGCTGTCCAACATGGCTGGTTGTACAGTTAAGGACTGCTAAGGGCTCAACCTGCCATAGTCCTTGCAGCCAATCCTGGGTCCGACAGAGACTGACCCAGAAAGGATTTTCATACAGTGGCCTTAATATTTGTCACATCTGGCTTAAAGAAGGATGCAGTTATTACCCCTGACTCAAAGTTGGGGGCACTAGATCTGGGGAGGTTATAGAACTGCCCCAAGGAACTGAAATTCTGAGATGGAAAGTGACATTCCCAAGGACACACAGCAAGGACAGTATGTAAGAATGCATGTCAGAACCCAGCTGCCTGCAGCAGCCCTTCCTCTCACAGATGACCCTCCCTGTGGGTCCCTAGCTAAAGGACCTCCAGGGGCCAGGGTCTCTCACCTGGGGACGTGAGTTTACATCAAGAGGGAATTGGTGGCCACACATCTGGCTCCCAGCCCCCTTCCCCGCCACTTGCCTGGCTGCAGGCTTGTGCTGTCAAACCTCCTCCATCCTCAGAAAGGCATAAGAAGAGACCCCTACTTCTGCAACAGGAGCCTTCATTTACTCTCCTCACAGCCCTGCCATGTTGTCTGTCTGCCCATGGAGTTAATGACTCTTCTAATAACCCCCTTACCCACCACAATCCACCTCAATGTTCCCTTAAACCCACATTTAAGGCCTTTCACAGTGAGCCCAGCTTTGCAAGGTCCACACCGACAGATTCAGACAAGCTCTGTCTGATAACAGTAACCTTTCATGATGTTCCATGGGACAGGTACTCCCCAAGGCCCCTCCATACCAGCCTTGACTGCCCTTCCTGGTTCAACAGAGCAGCTGGTATTGCTCCTGGTTTTACAGGACATGTGGGACCACAGTGCACACCAGACAGAGCCGACTAGAGCTCTGGTCTCTGTGCCCAGATCATTATGTTCATGCTCCATTCCCTTAACTTGGTCTGTCTGTTGAGACACTCACAGTGTGAGCTGGCCTCAGACTTGCTATTCTCCTATTTCTGCATGCTGGGCACCAGCATTACAGGTCTGTAGACTATACCAAGTTCTCCTTTTCTTAGCATTTTATTTTTCTTTCTCCTCTTTTTTTAAATTTTATTTTATGTATATGAATATTCTGCCTAGATGGATGGATATGTACCTCATGTGTGCCTGGTGGCCATGGAGGCCAGAAGAGGGTGTCAGATCCCCTGGAACTGAAGTTACAGGCAGTTATGGGCTACCACTTGGGTTCCAGGAACTGAACTTGGGACATCTGGAAATGCCTTTAACCACTGAGCCATCTCTCCTGCCCGACATGTTAACATATGTCCAGGGCTGAAGAGGGAATTGCTCAGTCTGTGAAGTACCTGCCCTGCAAGCCTGGGTCCCCAGCACTCGGGTAGAAAGCTGGGCTTAGTAGCATGCCACCTGTAATTCCTGTTCTGAAGAAACAGAGACAGGGCGGCCCTGGGACACACTGGCCAGCCAGCTGACCCTAATCAGTGAGCTCCAGACCAGTGAAAGACCCTAAAGAATGACATCCAGCACCAGGCAGTGGTGGCACATGCCTGTAATCCCAGCATTCGGGAGGCAGAGGTAGATGGCTCTCTGAGTTCAAGGCCAGCCTGGTCTACAGAGTAAGTCCCAGGACAGTCAGGGCTACATTGAGAAATCTTGTCTCAAAAAACCAAAACCAAAACAACTACAACAAAAAGACACCCAAGGTTGAGCTCTGACTCCACAGCCACATACACACAAATAAATAAAATGTTTAATGTAAAATGTACTGTATAAACACGAGGAAAGTTGGATGTGATGCTAAATCTCTCCAAACCCTTCCCTGGGAGATAGAGCTCTCAGGACAATTCAGCATGGTCTGTCTGTCTGTCTGTCTGTCTGTTGGTCTTCTTGCCCAGAGCTCTTTCTGTAGCCACAGCTGGTCTAGAAGGTGCTACTTAACCAGTCCCTGCATGGTAGCCCCTCCATCCCCCCCCCCACACACACACACACCAAGCTCCCAGCCCCCTGTGCTCCCTGAGAGACTGCATTCCTCAGGGTTTCCTGGCTTCGTGGGAATGTCTGGGGTGCTGACAACCCAGAAAGGCAGCCATCGTCCCAGAACAGTTCTCAGCATGGGGGCCTCTCCCCTGGTGTTTTTTAAACCTCCCCCATTGTCATTTTGCTGAGTTTAAATGAATCACCTCTAGCACCCCTAGACTGTGATACCCCAGGATGGTTCCTGAACCTCTCTGAGCCATAGGAAAGTACCTTGCCTGGGACCACTGAGCTGTGCAAGCCTCTGACCGTCTGTTTAAATCTAAGCTTCATGTCAGGACCCCAAAGATGAGCTGGAGGGGGGAGTCACTGGACCCCTTTATTGTCCCTCTTCCATTGTGGCCACATTGAATAAATCTCTCCCTGCTTTTTAGTTGCTGCCTCTCTAGCTGGCACACCGGGAAATGATGGCTGGGTCTGGCTTAATAGGAGTGTCGGGGTCCAGGCTCTGACTCTAACTCCAGCAAAAAGACAGGGTGGATCTCAGCTCTCGGAGGAAGGCCCCTGATGCCATCTGAGACTCAAGCCTCAGAATCCACAACGCAGGGTCCCAAAGAAGCTGCGGAAGAGCTCCCCCTGGGGTAGAAATTGCTCCATGCCTTCCTCTCCCAGTACCCAGGTCCAGGCTGCTGAGACCACTGTAACCACAGAGCAGCTCCACCCTCCCCGAGGGCTGCCAGACCTACTAGGGCCAGACCTGATCGCCTGGGGACATCCACCGGAGTCTGAGAGGGCCCAGTGGTTGCTGCCTCTTCCTCGGGGACGTGCGGAGTGAGTATGAATCTCCGGACACACATCCTGGTTTCCTGGGGTTGGGGAAGCGTGCTTTTCCCTCGTTAAGTCCTCCCATCCGCTGCAGTGAGCCAAGTCCTAATGGCCCCCACCCCAGGGAGGAGTGCCCCAAAACAGCCCAATGATTCTGGAAAGCACAGTCCCCGATTTCCTGCAGCTGAGCCAGGCACACTGACTCAAATCTTGCGGCTTGTGTTCAACATCCCCGCCACCTAGCTGGTCTTCCCAGCTCCACCCAGCATTCAGCTTTGTCCATCCTGGACCCACTCAGTGGGATGCCCCGCCGTGCTGTTCTGTACAAACCTGCACAAAGTGACAGGCCCCCTTCCCAGGCTCCCTTCTCCATCCTTCCTCTCCCTTCTCCCGCCACGTCACGGTGGTTCTGCTGTTTTGCTGTCTGTTCCCTCAACTGTCAGGAAACTTTCCTGAAGCTGGTCAGAAGCAGATAATGAATGAATGACTAACTGAGTGAATGAATGAGTGCGGGTGTGCACTCAGCAGTGTGTGGCTGGCCCTTCTCTCCTCCAGGCCAGGCCCCTGCCACATGTCAGTGTACTGTTTGGTAAGCGCTTTGTCTCAAAGGAGCCATAACACACAGCAGTGCTGGAGCTGACGGCCCTGTTGCTTACCCGGAGCTGGCCTTGCACGGGGTCGGTCTGCATCTCCCAGCTCTCACCCAGAGGTGACATCTTGTTTGTTTGTTTGTTTGATTGATTGATTATTTAATTGTAGAGACCGGGTCTCACATAACCAAAGCTGGCCTCCTGCTTCCAACTGGCTAGTACTGGCCTTATAGGTGGGTGCCACCACACCAGATCTATGTTGTTTTGAAGAGTCTCACTTTGTAGTCCAAGTGACCTCAGATTGATATATAGCTCAGGCTGCCTTTGAATTCACCACCCTTCTGTCTCTGGGGTTATAGCCTGTGTCAGCACTGGATTTAAGGTGGGCTTGGTCCTTCACACATGAGAAGTGAACGTGAACTTAGGCATTTGCCTGTCTCTAATTCCACAGACCCCCAGAGTGGAGGACAAGATCTGATGGGTCTCCTCTCAGACAAAGGAGTACCAGACCTCCCGTGAGGCTAAACACCAGTGTCACATCAACTCCAGTGTCGTCCGTGTGACATGAACAAGTATGTCTACAATAGCGGACAGGAGAAACGTGTCCCATGGGACTAAGCTCCCTGGAGGTCCCTGGCAGAGTGCCCGCGTTATGCTTCCTTCTCGAAGATGTACTTCACAGATCATGAGCTCCCTGGGCTATGGGTTCTGTATAACTGCTTTTCTGATAATGTCCTAATTAATCTATGAAGCACAGCCAAAATTAATGAATGCTTGGGTTGTGAACTATGGAGGAAAGGGGAAGCTGGACATGGATCTTAATCAGATATAACAAAATAAGCTATTTTTTAAAGACCCCAAGCTGCTAGATAAAGAAAGTATAATAGTTCAGGCACTTCTAGGGAATGAACACTCACCCACTAGGAATCCTTTAGGAATCCCAACTAAAGTGATTTATGACAGAAAACATTATCTCATAGGAGACAGATGATGGGCCCCTCTGTTGAGGAAGGTCAGCATGGGAAACTTAAGGACTACAGCAGACCCCCTTCCCCTTACAGGCGGAAAAAGTACAAGAGTCCATATTCCATCAGGTAAAAAGGTTTTATATTAAAAGAGATATGTGATAAAAGAACTGAAGAAAGACTTAGGGAGGATCTGCAGCATCCAAACTGGCTAAGTGGGTCAAGAGAACCAGAAAAGTAGAAGTGCATAATAAACTAGCGAGAGGCTGAGATAAAGATGAAGGCCACAGCCACAACCGCAAGAAGCCCACATAAGTCTAGGGACCGTACTAAGTTTAAAAACACAGACTGCTCTTTGGGTCATAAAGTTCTTGTGAATGCAGGGATATGTCTAGCGCCAATTAATAATTGTGTGCTTGCTGTTTTTTAAAGATGATGTAACTGAATTATTGCCAAGCTCTTGTTGTTCCTTGTATGACTTGATAGTTTTCTTTTCTGTATATAAACTACTGATTTGGCAAAAGTAAAATTACAGCAGATTCAAACCACTTCTAAATGTGTCGTCTGTCTGTCATTCGCCAAATCCTTGCCTTCCTGACTACTCAAGCCCTGGTTCCCCTACGGTCGTGGTACCCCTGATGGGCCAGTCCGTGGCACACCAGTTATCAATGGATCAGCAAAGAAGGCTCAGGGGGGTGTTCAACAGGAGCCCAGAGCCTGTTTCTCTCCCAGAGAATAGCTAAGTTTCTAGGGCCTGGGTTCCTTCCTCACCCACCCTCTTTTGTAGCTTGAGTTTTCCTGCCTGGTCTACAGTCAGGACAAATCTCTCTCACCTGCCAGTCCCACAGCCGCTCAGACCCAACCAAGTAAACACAGAGACTTATATTGGTTACAAACTGTGTGGCCGTGGCAGGCTTCTTGCTAACTGTTCTTACAGCTTAAATTAATGCATTTCTATAAATCTATATCTTGCCATGTGGCTCGTGGCTTACCGGCATCTTCACTTGCTGTTTGTCATCGTGGCGGCTGGCAGTGTCTCCCCAACTCAGCCTTCCACTTCCCAGCTTTATTCTCCTCCTTGTCCCGCCTACACTTCCTGCCTAGCCAATGGCCAATCAGTGTTTTATTTATTGACTAATCAGCAACACATTTGCCATACAGAACATCCCACAGCACTCTTTTTACTTCTTTATTTTAAAATTATTTTTAAAAACAGTAGTCTTGTTTCTGGGAAGCCAATTATCTTTCCCCAATGTTAGTGTCATGTAATCATAGCAGAGAGAATCTAATAATTGTAAATGAGCATGGACCCATACTATTGACTAACTCACAGATGCCACAGTTTGGACACACATGCCACACATGGTCTGAACATGTCCCAGACACTTATATTCTGGAAGTTTAGTCCCCAGGGTGGCTGTCCTCAGAGGATGTGGGACCTTAAGAGACAGCCTCAAAGGAGGCCATTGGGTCATAGGGGCAATGATCCTGGAGGAGGGTAGTGTTGGAGGGGGTCTCAAGAATGAGTTGTTACTAAATGAGTTCAATGTCTGGGCTGTTGCTCTTGTTTCCTGCTTGGCCATGTGATGTGTTCCCAAGACTGTAATGCCATCTGCCTTGAGGCTTCTCACCAGAGTGGGTCAGATACTGGCCACATACACTTAAACCTCCAGTATATAAAATGTGTGTGTGTGTGTGTGTGTGTGTGTGTGTGTGTGTGTGTGTGTGTGTGTATGCCTGTGTGTGCACATGTCACAGCACACTTGTGGAGGCCAGAGGACAACTTGTGAGACTTAGTTTTCTTCTTCCACCATGTAGGTCTCAAAGGTCAAAGCCAGCTTGGTGGCAAGCATCATTCTTAACCATTGAGCTATCTCACTGGTCCTCAACCTCTCTCTCTGTGTGTCTCTGTCTGTCTGTCTCTCTCTGTCTCTCTGTCTGTCTCTGTGTCTCTGTCTCTGTCTCTCTCTCTCTCTCATTTATTCTGCCTCCATGTATACCTGCACACCAGAAGAGGGCATCAGATCTCACTACAGATGGTTGTGAGCCACCATGTGGTTGCTGGGAATTGAACTCAGGACCTCTGGAAGAACAGCCAGTGCTCTTAACCTCTGAGCCATCTCTCCAGCCCTCAACCTCTTTCTTAATGAAGTATTAACTGTTAGTATTTTGTTAGAGCAACATGAAATAGACTAATAAATGTATTTAATTCCAATTTCACCAACTGTCCTATTGATGGCTGAGGATCTAAGCCAGGACCCCTCATGGCATTTGCTTGAGTTTCCTTAGTCTCTCCACTCTGAAACAACTGTGATCTTGTCTACTCTTGATGGTTTTAAAGTCAACTGTAGAACTTTGTGTTCCTACAATGGCTTCACTACTTTTTTCATTTATAATTATCAAGGGCCTGTGACTGCTACTTAGAGATCAGGCAGATAACTTGTTTCTCATCACACTGATTTTTGGGTCCACTGGTCATACACACTTCCAATAACCAAAAATGGCTGTAGCGTTGCCAACTGCTGACTTCTGTGGCCAGCAGTCCCTCTGCTGTGTTCTCTGGAATTTACTATCGAAACAGATTATAGACTGGGCCATTTCTTTCCTTCTGTGACTGTCACAATTTATCTTGCTGGCCCAGCTGTCTCCTCCCCTGTTTAAATATCTCAACACATCTGCATCCTGTCCATCTGAGATGTGCCCAGAGGCTGTCATCTGGCCTCTGTGTCACTCTGCAGCTGTGGCACCTCCAACGAGCCACCCTCCGGAGTGCAGAAATGGTGACTAGGGAAGTTCACAGTTCTTCACGGGCAGCCAGGTTTCCACGGAACCCACAGAAGTACCTTCCCAGCAAGGCTAGCCCTTCCCTGAAACTGGTGGGCTGCAGAGGAGTGTATCATAGTCCCTGAGACAGGGAGGAAAAGAGCTTCCTGCCCCTGACACAGCAGTAGTGAAGGCCCCTAAGGGCCTAGTTCCTTCTGGTGGAGACCTAACACTCCAGTTTGGTGGGGTCAATGACCTGGCTAGTAGGCTCAGGAAGGAGGGACTATCTCTAGGAAGGCAGATGTATCTTAAGCAATGCCAAAAATGTAGGAGGAGTCATTAGTCCTTTACTCCTAGGAGACACTAGACCTTTCCTTCCCAGAACCCCCTCCCTAACACAGTCCCTACTAGTGGAACCATCATGAGGTTCAGTGGGGTCTGCTCACCTTTATGAGTCCTGCTCGCCTTTATGAGGTGCCATTTTCTGAGGTCTTTGTTCCATCTCTTTGTTTCTGATGCTGGCCAGAACCCATGTAGGTTTTTCTGTCCCTTAAGGCCTTCCATACTTTCTCTAAAGCTCCCCTCCTGCCATGTGACCTCTGTGCTGGTTTAACGCAAATGGTGTGACTTTTCCCTTCTCCTTCCATTGCTTCAGGCAGCTGCTGAAGCGTGCAGCTTCCTGCTCTGGGTAGCTTCTTTTAAACTCTAATAAAAATTGTTGTTGAGCTTCCATTTAAGTTGCTCTTAAATTCTGTTATCAATGAAACTAAGAACCCTAAGAGAGAGCTCCGGTTCCGTATCAGCCCCAGGGCCCTGGGTCCTTCCTCTGACCTCTAATCACACATCCACTTCCAGTGCCACCAGCCTCATGCCCTGAGTCCTTCCTGCTTCCAGGCCCTCTGCCAGGCCTCTGGAGTGGTGGCCAAGAAGCCCACACGGACAGCTGGCAGTATTTGCCCAAACTCTGGCAACCCTGAGCGGAAGTGCTCTCCACCCCGAGATGGTTTCCAGCTGTTTCACACCAGCCATAAAACAGCCAGAAAGTTGAAAATAGAGCTCAGACCAAAGGGGGGTTGTTCTAGAGGCATTCAGGAAACCCCTGCTTCTCTCTCCTTAGAGCCCAGAGTGTAAACCTGAGAACCACTGACACTGGCCGATCTTCATGTCTCCCACCACCTAGCTCAAGCTATCCCCCATGAGCCTCCTGTGTTCTCCAGGTCCTTCCCAAACCCCTATTCTGATTCCTCTCCAGCTCTGGGGCAGATATGACTTCCTACTAGGCGGCAAGTAGCTCTTCCGCACAGCATGCCTGGCACCAAACCCACAAGGAGCAATCTGTGACCCGCCACAGCTCGCCTGCAATCAGCAGACCAGCTTCCGGGTAGGCCTGCCTCAGCCTCTGCTGGGTGAGTTCAGTCTGTCCTCACTGAGCATATGTGGGGTCATCTCTTCCTCCAGGGTCTTGCCACTCTGGGCTCCTAACCCCACAATGGCCCCGCAGAAAAGAAACTGAGTCAGCACCCACCTTTACTCACGTTGTTGAGATGTAGTCTGCTGGCCGCCGGCAGAGTGGCCCTCGCTGGCCTTCTGACTTGTCTGTCCCTTCAGCACACCTACCCAAGGTGGAGCTCTGGGCTGCAGGAGGAAAGGAGTTGCTTCTACTGATGGGAAGGTATGCAACCCTTCCCACAATTCCCAGTCTCTTCTCTTGGTTCAAATTTTTTCTTTATCAAAATACCCCTGGGGACTAGGGAGTCCGTTCAGCAGGTAAAGAGCTGGCAAGGACCTGGGCTTGACACCTGAGACTCAGGTGGAAAAGGCAAGTGTGGACACATGCTAACAGTCCCAGCAGTGGAGAGGACAAGGGCAGCATGCAGCCCCAGCCACAGTGGTGGCCTCTCTGGGGCTGGCTAACCAGCCTAGCCTCATGGAGGAGTCCTGGGCCAATGGGAGACCCTGTCTCAAAATAACGTGTATGGTGTGCCTGCTGCACACTCATAAATGCCATTTAAAACCCTGAGACGGACACTCCATGCTAGAGCTCTTGGGACAGGCTGTGCTTCTCCAGAGAGTACATTACCAGGGATCAGAGAGAGTCACTTGTTCAAAACTGTTACTAGGAGCCATTTGTTCTGCCCCCCCCCCCAACACCCTTCACCGCCATGCTCTTCTCCTCCTCCTCAAGGAGACACATATGAGTGACCGTGGCCCAAGAACATGGATTCGGGTTGCCCCAGATACCATGTTTCATCATGGTAAGAGGTTTACAAACTGTGACAGTTACAGAACAAAGGAGGTCATCAGACAGGCACTTTTCAGAGGCTGTGGTGGGAACATCAGGGAGACCACCGGTACTGCACAGCAGGGGCATCTCTGCTATGGACCTCAGATACTAGCTGGTAATATTCTTAGCTATTGTGATAAAGCTACAGGGCCTGTTCAGTTAATACATTTCAAACGGATTAACCTGACAGTCACAAAGACGTTAGGTCAGACACAGAAGTGGGCAATGAATGACTGCTGTGAGGGCTAAGGATAGCCCAAGATAATTTGTCTCAGGATCTGCAACATTCCAACTCTCATTAAGTTCTGAGCCCCGAGGGCCTGTCCCGAGTCAGAGCACAGACGAAAAGGAAGAACAGTGGTGCTGATGGGCTCAGGCTGGAGGCACACTACTTTAAGGGATCCTTGTCTACCCCACCCTCAGCTCCATTTCAGGAGGAAAGTTATGCACAGAGAGATGAGCTCATTCAAATTTCAGGACTTGGATCTGGAACGGACTACTCCAAACCACACCCTCAGGATCCACCCAGCCGGTTGTCTGAACCCTCTGTCCTGAGTCCAAACCTTCTTCCTGTGCCTCTGTGTGCTGTGCGTGCATGTTTGCGTGTTTTGTTCATGTGTAGAGCACGTGTGTGCCTCTGTGTGCTGTGTGTGCATGTTTGTGTGTTTTGTTCATGTGTGGAGCACGTGTGTGCCTCTGTGTGCTGTGTGTGCATGTTTGTATGTTTTGTTCATGTGTGGGAGCATGTTGTAGAAGCTCCAGGCCAACCTCGGGGGTCTTCCTACATCATCCTCTCCCCCATTCATTGAGGCAGCGCCCCCACCTGAACCCAAGCTCACCAATGCAGCTAGTCCAGCTAGCTGCTTGCTCCTGGGAGCCTGGCTCTGCCTACTGAGTGGAAACAGTTCCTGCTGTAACCAAAATCCTGAGAAGAAGCAACCTAAAGGAGCTTGGGCCTGGGTCTAGAAGGCCGTATTCATCATGGTGTTGGAAGGTGGGATGGCAGGAGCCAGAGGTCACAATGAGGTGGCAATCACGAAGCAAGCACACAGTGGACAGAAGCAGGACCCAGCGATCAAACCTCAAGGCCTGGCCCCAGGGAGGCTCCACTTCCTACCTGTCCCACAGTCTCCAAAACAACGCCACCAGCAGCAGACCAAGTGTTACAATATACGAGAAGTAGGAACATTTCACATTCAAACCAACACTGCAGTTCAGGACGGACCCCATCAAACATGGTCCCTCAAGTTGCCACACAGGCACCCCTAAATGAGTCAGTGGAGAAAACACCCCTTCCTGTCCCCTTCCACACCAGTAGGTCTCAGGAGCCGCTCTAGCTGTTCTACCCAGATCACATGCTGCACGGGAAACACAGAACAGAGTGAGGAAATGGTGAGTGATAGGAACACTGTGCCTGGAACAAGCAACCAGCTCCTGGGAGCGGATGACCTGGGTGTGGGCTTGAAGTCTGGCAAAGGGACGAGGGACAGCTGTGAAGCCCTTGGGGCGGTCAGACCTGACTCGTTTTCCTAGAAATACAATATTGGAGAGTTGAAAGGTCCCTGATATATCAGAAGGCTCTGGAACACTTAACCAGAGCCCCCAGCACCAACCTCATTTAACCACCAGCTGACTTCATCTGCCCCCTGCTGCAGAGGTCAGAGGGGCCACCACAAAGGCTATGACACTACAGGAGCAGAGCAGGGCACAGAGTGAGGGGAGCGGGAAATGCTTTTGTGCCCCCTGGTCCATGGCACACCCCACAGCACAGTTCTGACTCCAGAGCTCATCCCACCCTTTGCTTGTTTCGTGTTTGTGGAGTCGGCCATGACTCTTCCCCTACTTTCACAAGCCTCTTCTGGGTGGTGGCTTTAGTTTTGAAATGCTGCCCGGGAGCACGTCCAGAAAGGAGGGCTGAGGCGATGCAGACTCTACGTGCTTGCTGTCAGTTCTGCATCCCAGGCAGTCACAGGGCGTGCTGAGTGGGGCCAGAAGACCCGAGAACTCCCTAAGGCAAAGGTGGCTCCCCGCTCCTCACACAGCGTCGGGACCAGGCACTGCCACCAGGGCACACTATCTGACAGGGCTTCGTGCCACCTGTGGTGTGTGTCACTGTGTGGACGTTCGCTAACCAGTGTGCTACATCTTGAAACGTAAACACTCAGTCTGAGCCCCGCTTATGGAGGAATATTGGTAAGACCACAGCTTTGATGCTATCCCCCAATGAGATAGGAAAATAAAAACATGCGTGTCTGTGCCCCCCCTTAAGTCATCAAGTAGGCACCCTATTCCTGTCACAAAAAAGGGACACAGCCTCAGCACAGTCCTGCTGTCCCTAGGGCTGGGGAGAAGTACTTGCCACACAAGCATGAGGACCTGAGTCAGGGTTCCCAGAACTCCTGTGAAAAGCCAAGTGTGGTGGTGTGTGTTCATAACCTTAGCTTTAGAGACAGGCTCTCACTGTGTGACCCAAGCTCCTTGGAGCTCACTGGCCAAATCAGTGAGCTCTGGCTGGGTATAGTGGCAGTCTCCTTCCTTGTCTTTATCTCTGACTCTGTGTGTGTGCCCGTCTCTCTCTGTGTCTCTGTCTCTCTCTCACACACAAGGGGTGGGGTGCGTACCCTGCCCTTTCTGTCTACCTCCCTGGTGGCATCATGACTAACTTTACATCTAGGATACGTTAGTCATTCCTGCTTTAGAATGAAGAACTGAGGTGCTGTGCCCACATCACGAGACCCCCCAAGCAAAACCACCACAGAGCCGATATCCGATGCAAAACACACAGGGGTTTATTGATAACAAACAAGTCCGGACTTGGTCCGTGTCGAACACTTCGACACAGCAGGTGGAGGAGGACGGCCCTGAGCTCTCAGGGTGAGGAGTTTTTAAAGGGAAAAACCGCAAGCAGGGTGGTACAAGCCTTGGCATCATATGACTGGGTGAGGGTGTGTAACCTTTGAATTTACTGGTTGGGGGTTACAGTTATCATTTTAGGGCAGGCCTGGACAAGTTCCAGGCTTTGTCCTTGAGCTGCCATGGAGGCTGGCTGGCCTAGCACATATTGACTGTGAGGGCTGAATCAGTGGCCCAGGCTCTGTCCTTGATTCATGCACATAGCTCTAAGTTGGTGAGGGGTCAGTAAACAATTGGTTAAACCTTGAGTGGTCAGAGTACGTGCAGAAAGGGAGCTACCGCAAGGACTATGTCTTTTGTTCATGCCCCTGCTTCTCAGGAAACTAAAATTGATCTCTGAAAGAAGACTGGGCAGCCTGTTTAAGGTGTCTGCTTAGTCCTTTCAGAGTCATAGATTGAGGAGATTTGCATGAGGGTATGATGGGACTAGGTTTTCAATCTAAAACATCTTGGGACCAAGCTTCTGTGCCTAACTACTAGGCTTTACTGTCCCCTGAAGCTGCATGCCCCCAGTCTTAGTACTAGTGCCACCCCTTAGAGATTCCTGGCCCACGAGTTATGGGGAACCTCTTTCTCAAAGGAAAGAGTTCAGTAGAATGACAGGTAGTTCAAGCAAAAATTTACTTAGCAAAGCAAAGCAAACACTCCAGAGAGAATGGAGGGAGTCACCCAAGGCAGGGAGCTGCCCAGCGGGTTCTACATTGTGAATTTTAAAGACGGGTTTTTAAATGTTTGTGGGGCAGGAGACTAGCCTTGAACACTTGCTCTGCCTTCGCCTCCCAGGAGCTGGGGTCAGGGCTTGCGGCACCTCTCAACACGCCGCCGACTTCAACATCAAAGGGCAACTGTAGTCGGACCTTTCCTGTCCTGACCACTGGTTCCCAACACATGTTCATAGTGTAGAAGAGGATTGTTCCACAGCAGGCAAAGTCCAAAATGTATTCAGATGGTCCTTTCCCTCCCAAATTATGGCTACCCGGGTCTCCCTTTTAGGTTATTTCTCCCCATAATCCTCTAGAAAAGCTTCCAAGAGGATGTTAAAACCACAGCATAAATTCTTTGGGGGATATAGAGTTTCAATAGTGCACGTGGGTGGGATGATGCCTGAGCTTCTGATGTAGCAAGAACATCCTGCCTCCAGCCTCCAGGACGTTTGACCACAGGGCTATGTGAGTGTCAGGAGACGCAGCCTCCAAGCTCAGCTATAGCTTCCTTTGCTGCCCTCACAGCTAACTGCCGCCTTGAGACTGCTCAGGGTCAGTGGTTGGTCTCATGGCTGTCTGCTGGTTAGG